GAGAGAGACAGAGAGAGAGAGAGAGAGACAGAGAGAGAGAGAGAGACAGAGAGAGACAGAGAGAGACAGAGAGAGAGAGAGAGAGAGAGAGAGAGAGCCTTTAGTGTGGCTACGGGGCGCGTGCATTCTTTCTTGTGTGATTCTCAACTTCTCGTCCATCTCTTCGAGTTTTGCTTCATCGTGGTATATGTATAGATGTATGTATAGAGTAGACCCGACGTCTTTGTATCTAGCTTGACCAATTGAGCTGCTTCTGTGCCCTTTGTGTTTGTTTGTCTCGGGCTGTCGTCTTTAGGGCGTCTGTCCTTCCCGGCGTCTTGTCAAGCCTCAGCCGACGCCCGGTCTCTTGTCTCCCGCCTGTTGTCCCTTGAGCCACTGATGCGCATAGGCGCCTGCGGGGGTGTTGAGGAAGTCATGCGGCACCCCTGGTTTGCGGGGATTTGCTGGAACGTGAGCATTTTAGGGGAGAAGGTTCCTGCGTCCGCTCATGGGGGGCGTTTCACGTGAAGGGCACGCAGCCAACCACTTTGTGGGGAGGCCACGAATTGAGCTTTTTGGGCGGCAACACGCAGGATGTAGGATTAGCCTATGTATGCTATGTCTGTTACCGCTTCTGGTCGTGCGGTGTATCGTCTACAGCCGATCGACCGCCAGCGGAAGGCGAGTCCTCTTCTTGGATTGCTGCGAGAAGCTAGGAAGGAAAGTCCTCCTCTTTCGACCGAGTGCGTTTCTTGCTATTGGCGCTCTCACGTTTCTGCCCCCTTTGGATGTACCGGCATCACCTGCAGTTTCGGGTCTGTGGTCTCAGGGTTTCGCATTTTGCGCATTTGGTATGCGGTTTAGGGACGTTCTGGAGGCAGCGCCATTTACGTGCGATAAAGGACGCTGGAAGCCTCAAGAACCTTGCGCTTCCTCCGCCTTTGACTGGACGAACCCGATGCGACTTAGGGACTTAGCCGCCCGAACGAGTGAGCAGGAGGCAGCAGGCAACTGGCTGTGACCAGCTGTCTTGAACTGTATTTTTGCCCGTCAATGTAGATGCTAGCTTCTCGGTTGTTCGGTCTGCGTTTATCTTTTGGGACGGCAACTCATGCGGCGCTGCGTATAAATAATAGCTTGCGGCTTGCATGTGAATGTGGCGTGCATGCAGCCGACTTCACAGTTGAAGGCATGTGCGTGGGTGTACCGAGAGTGCCTCGTACTGCACGTGTTCCGGTTGCAGCACTCACACCTGCAGTAAGCGCCGCCACAGAAATAACATCTGAGATTGCTTCTGATGTGACTGGTTCTGATCGTCATCCCTTGGCACAGAGCCCGGCTGCAGCAGACAAGGCAGATCTGACCCCTTTGGATCCCAATAGGCCTTGTGCCGGTTCGGCCGCGCAGCCTCATCCTGGACGGAAGGCGCATGATTTCCCGCCTTCTTTGGAAAGAGAGAATACACCTATGGACAGGCGAGCTGCGCCTGTGCGTGACAAGGGAGAAGGCAGCAATACCCCAAGCCCTGTAGGGCCAGGAAATGCGGATTATACCACAGACAAAGGACGAGCAGAAGCGGGAAAGCAGGCAACAGCAGCCACTGCAGCTGCAGCTGCGAACAGTGAACCAACGCAAGTGATTATTGCACCATTAAGCGCGGCGGGTGCACAGAAATCTAGAGAGATAGAAACGCCAGAGCGTTCAGCAGAACTGGTATTATCTGTCAGCGTGAGGAAGGAAAAGACGTGCTCCAATTCTCTTCAATCAACGGAGGCGGCAGACCTCTCTACCATCAGTGCAGTTTTACCCTGTGGGACGAGGGACGCCGAGGAACCCCCACGGGTGACACCCGCCGCTTCACCAGGGAAGCTCGTTACATGCGCACTGCGCTCTTTGCGATCAGTAGGAGGCACGGGAAGGCCTTCGGCCCTGTCTTTAAGGGATACGGGTGAGCCTACTGCCGGCAGAGGCAGCGTCAGCAGCCCTGGGTCGCTGGAGGCAGCTCCAAGTCCAGCAGCTTCTGTTACTCCTACCCGTGCAGAGAAGGGGCCTAAGCTACGGAAGTCCGCAGCCGTCCCTCGCATAGCATCCCTGGCGTCGCAGCGCGAGTGTGAGCGAGCCTCAGCGCGACAACCGACACCGCCCTTGGGTGCCCCTGCCGGCAGTCGAGGCAGGCTGGGGTACAGTTCGGCCTCACCCCAGAACTCGCCCATTGTACGTGCACGCCCAGTGCCAGCAAAAGGAAGCCACGGTGTGGCGGTTACCAGCTCACCGGGGCCCTCTAGAGGACCCTCGCATGCAGTGCACGCCGGGCGAATCGACGTTCTCCCCCCTTTCCCAGGAACGGCAGCTGTCTCAGTGCGGGTGAATGGCACACCCGTCCCCGGATCTGGGCTGTCAGATCGAAAGAAATCCGGAGAAACAAAGCAGGTACCAAGGCAACTGCGGAACGCGTCTATGCAGCCCGGGTCGACCGGGAGCAGGAAAAACTTGTCGGCGCATGTGAAATGAATTCTGCATCAAATAGACGATTCCAGTGACTCTTTGTCAAGTAAATTGCCGTCTTTACGTATTGGAGTCAGCTGTGCTTCAGGTCGTCACATACACAGGGAAACTGGATATATTCTTTGCTTCTGAGTACTACGGTGCCTTTCAGCCGTAAAGGCGCCGAGTGCGCCATTTTTTATTCCCTGGCGGTGTCCTTACCCAATTACCTGGAAAAGCGATTCTATATGCAAATTTTGCTTTTATCCTACAGGGGTAGTTTTTGCAGCGGACTACTGCTTAAACAAGAACACTCCTCGCTTACAGAGCTCCGGTGTATCGCATGTCTCGACATACAGTGCTGTATGCTGCAATGTGAAATGGTCAGAAGTGAATCTTTCCTCAGTTGAGGATGCAAGTCCATGAGGAGGCAGGAGAACGCATTTTGCTTCAGAAAACATAACGGAAGGGACATGATTTAAAAGCTATTCCGATTCAGTTCTATTTCGTGGCAGCCGAGATCATGTGTACAGTAGAATCAGTACAAGAGTTCTGATCTACGGATTTTACAGTCCATTCACTTTAAGATCAGCTGTACATTCAATATTTCTGTTGTGTGCAATGGGGAAGAGACACTGGAAGATCAAAAATGGGATTTTCTGGGCTGTTTATTGCGTTGCCTTCTTTCCCACGGTGCTCATGGGTGCGGTATCGGAAGCCATGAAGAAAGCCACCAGTTGTAAGAAAAATGCAGGTGACAGTTGAATCAGAAGCGAAAAACATTTACCACAGTTAATCAGAGAGTACTTGAAATAGACCAAAAACCCCACTTTCAGCAGGCGAGGAATCCGGTAAACGAAAACCGCCTAAATCCGCCTTTGGGTAAGCAGCATCATGTCGACACCATTTTTGTCATACCTAGTGTGGTTTACTAAAAAGGCTTTCACATTTTTAAAAACGTACCTGCAATTAATTTTTGAATCATCAGGTGATACTGTACCCGTGCCTTCGCCTGTTTTGAACTTGCATATGGACCTACCCAACACTGACCGATTCAACGCGAAATTTTCTCGAATGGCGCTAAGGCAACTAGAAAACGACATACAGACGAGGAAGGAAGACTTTGAAGAAGACATGGAAGGTGAGGGGATTAGCTCAGCCAGATCATGGCGTGAACCGCTTTCCAATAATGTTGCCAATGAATTACCTACGGTTACAGGTATCCAGGCTGTCATAAAGCAACAGGTATTTTCGATAGTATCCTAACTGTTGCCTCATACCGAAGAAATGGAGGTTCTCGTGTATCAGGCTGAAGAGATGAAGGATCTACTGGCCCTTGCTGAGCTGCTTACGTCCGTTTCTAAGGGCGAGCAAAGAGCCTAGCCCAGAAACATATCCAATGCCACTAGCTCTCTCGTCTTGCCCCCCGATGGTTCCCCTGCATCCTCTCTTACCCCAGCGGTTTTAAATCCCTGTTCCTCTCATGAATCATTCTGTCATCTCGCGCAGGGACGGCGCAGGGGGATATGAATGTGAAATGGGAAGGACAAATGCTTGCAAATAGCTTAATAATGCAAAAATTAAGCGCATACCAAAGATATCAGCTTTGCTTTCACCTAAAACCGCTTTACCATTCTGGAGAGTTCAGAACCAATGAAGCGTATGCCGAGAAAGAGTCGCAATCGGTACCTGTTTGTTTGCGTTAATCAGCGTCACCGTTTAGTCTACACAGCTGTATTGATTCAGAAAACACCTGGAGATTGACGCTTTGCCTTTTTCCCGCAATACCATCTAGGAAGTCTTCTAGAGGCTAGAGCCGCAGCCCCACGGCGAAGATTTATTTCTGCATCCTACATATGCGTCAGTTACCGCTTTTAGTTTTATTTTTTTGCTAAGATAAATAGCATGTTTATTTGGATCTTGGCGCCAAAGCCCCCGTGAACTCTGCCATTACGTAAATCCTTTCGTGCTTTTCTGCCCACAACATCTCGCTCTCCTGTATTGATACGTCATGCATGCTTTGTTGAAGGCCATCAGAAAAGAATCGTAGGGTAATGAGCTGGTGGAATCTGAATGTATGTATGCCATAGAGCATCACCTTATGAGCTGAAGCTCTTGGCCATTCAGTTTTACCCGGCTTGATCATCTTGTTTCTTCACGTGTCCCCGTCTGCTATAACCTTCCGAAGGAGATGTCGATTCCTTGCCTCTTTGAGGATCGTTTCACAGTCCGGAGTGTGGACAATAACAAATTTGAGCGTGTTAGCAGAATTCGTGCCAAGAGCTCGGGACTCGATGCAGAACTCATTTTGGATGTCAACAAACAGCTGCTCCCTCTTGCCGAAAAGCAGGTAAGCAAGCAGTTCCATCCCATATCAATGTATTAGAAAAGGTGCTAATGATATGTAGGACCATCATTTAAAGAAACAGCAGAATAATCTATGGTGCTCCTTAATGAACTATTGTTTCATGAGACGACCGACGATTCAAAGCAAACAAGCTGCAAAACAGCTGCAACATGGGCTCAATTGGAGGACAGCATGACAGCGTGCACCCATTCGCGCGCACTTTAAGTGTATGCATGCTGACTGTATGTTCAGGGGGTGCATATTGGTCTCACGAACTCGTTGGTTCTCCCAGACCGCAAGGCAGATGGCTCCACAGACGCACAGCAGTTAAGCGGCTACGACTATGTCATGTATGGCAAGGTTTTCAAGCTAGAGGAAACCTCATCGGAAAGAAGGTACATTCTGTATCTAATATGCCCTGAAGAGTGCTAGCATGTAGTGTAGCATTAACTCGATTCAAGTGTCTAGAAGGCCTTGTAGTCTTGGAATGAAGTGCCACCATCTTATTGCGTGTTTGCTGTATCGTCTGCCTGTGGTACATCTCCCTCGTGTCGCTTGCAGAACCCTTTATTTGTCCTTTGGGGGGCTCTTAATGTCTCTGGCGGCTGACAAGCACGTCGTGGGCGATTTGGAGCTCGATATGCGAGTTTATCTCTTGGTGAAGAGATCGCAAGAGTCGTTGGTCGAATGCTAAACCAAACTTGTAAAATTCAGATAATACGCAGGATAAGAAGGCCGCTTGACTTTTTTCTAGCTCCTGGGTTGAGTAGTAATAGTGCACATCATAACCTAGGGCCACTATAATATATGTATATACATAGAGATATATATATAGTTAGTAGCTCATGTAAAAGATTAAAGCCCTCTAGGATAGAAACTTAGAGGGATAATGGGGCCCTTACCGTCTGTGCCCTGCAACTATTATCTGGTGCATTGCTTCTCACTCAAGATAGAAGGACATACACTCACAGTATATTACAGTTATGTCCCTCTAAACCCCTGAATTTCACCTATTTTACTTGCTTCCGATATTGAATTCCTCCGCTCACCTGTCTCACCTCAATTTCCCGAATACCAATTTCTCTCGACCGAACAGTGCGCATTCGGGCGAGGGAGACGGTGGGGTAGAACTGCATGGCTTGGAATACACTTGCATTCATATAGCTCGCTTTGTACCAGCTTTAGTAGCATCCACACTAGCTGCAGTAGATATCTCAGCATTTCTGCTCCCTGCAACACATGCCTCCGGTTCGTTTTGGAACTGAAAATTAGAGTCGTCATGGAGTACTGCGCTGCTGTTATTTCTGCTACCGCTGTTGCATGGCTTCCTAAAATTGCTTTCCACTGGCCATTGTTGCCCTGAAGGTTTCGCATGCATTTGCACTACCCCAGGAACTATTGTGGCGTGGCCGTGGTAGCCCATCCTTCAAACTGCTGGCTTTCAGTTGCATGCAGGCTTACTGGGTCGCGCGTGGGCTTCAGGTGTGTGCGAGCATAAGTATTGTAATTGGGGTCTGAAGGGAGACTGCAGAAAGATTTATTGCACGAGCAGACCATAAAGGTATGCCCATCACATCCAGTGTCAGTCGCCAATGCCTTCATTTGGCCTGTTTTTGTGACACATTCGCTAGCTGGCACTTTTGTGGTGATACAGTCTAGAGCCTGGGGAGAACAGCACTTCAAGGAGACTGAGAATTCCGGCTTCGATACCCTGTAGTACTTTGCAACAGCCGGACAGCCACTGCGCACGAAACAACTACACTGCACCACATTCAGATAAAACAGAAACTTTGCCTTATCAATTTCATCGAGTCTTTGAAGCGGGTTTTCTGGCGTCCAGTTATCCTAGGCTAAATATTCTGCAATCTTTCTAAAGTGGTTGATCCTAGGAGACACATGACGAATCCAATCCTTGTCACAAACTTTCGTCCATAGGTAGCTCCGCTTTACTACCTCCCCCAACAAAACCCCATATCACTTTGCCGTCCTTTTATGATTTTTAAAACTCAACAATTCTCCCACATGTCGAGTGACTGAAGACTTCGAGCATCCTTAAGGTTACCGGACAAGCCACAAAGAATGGCCTCATTGGGGGTGGTCCTGGAAGAAGGTCTCCTAATGAGAATACAGGGTAATTCCTGATCATTTGGGAATAAATTCTAAAATTTTTAGGCCTCAACATTTCATTTTCGCCCGTGTATGGGCTGCTACTTGTGTTTCGCGGCATACATGTATTATCTTTAAAAAGGAGCCCTCTGCCCAGATTTTTCTGCAGGAGCCTAGTAAAACGATTCTTAGCTGCATTTCAGATCTATGGGGTTCGCTGAGGACCTATCCCTTCATGTATGAATGTTTTCAGACTTTCGTCAGATGGTATAGCCTGCATACTCCATGTTCAACTGCCAAGGGACCAGCGTTCACCCTTCTGTTTAATTGGAAGTCCATTGCTGCACTCTAGAAACTACTTTTCCTAATGCATTTGTCTGTGTTACCCCTCATGGTGAGCCCAGGTACACGTTTACACGGTTACACCAAACTGCTTCACATTTTGGTCAAGCATCACTCGAACTGCTTGTACAATGAAGCTATTTCTATAGTATATCAGCTGTGAACTAGGCGTCTTTCCATACCAGAAGAAATTGATGTTTTGCACCTGGGCGCGAAGCTTTTGTGCGCAAATCTACAGACTGCCCGCAGGTGTAGGCTACCTACATCCTAGCTATCCGTCCTTCCCTTGGGCAAAGAACTTGTCGGAATGATGTCAAGAAGATGGAAACACCGTTTCAGAGAACAAAACGAAGCCAGTCGCTGGCTGTGGGCCCCTCCAAAGGGACCCTATGAAGAGAGTTGCTTGCCGCCGCACTTTTTCGCCTTTCTTGGTTATTGCAGCAGCTTGACTCAATGTGCATCCGCAAGCATTTAATCTATAACTCATCCACGTAGCTTCATTCGGCGTACCTTTTTTTGGCGTGTGTACTTTTCAAGAGACGGCTGCTTTGCCCCACTACTAGTGGCAGCGCAGCCTGGTGGACCAATGGGCTGCACACCAGTGTCAGTTGGGTTTGCAGCCCTCAGCCTGCTCCTAAAATGTAAATATGAGTACAAAAATCAGCACAATACATTGATCAAAATCAAATACTGATGGAATCAAATTAGTGACAGCGAGAAACGATGCCAGAAACGTCGCACCAGCGGCAGCAATGGAGTCCCCGTGTCTGAAATGTCGGCAGTACCTACTTCCTGCGTTGGGTAGAATATCCTTTTTATGGCTATGAAAGCGCTAATTTTTGGCCTAATGGCTGTTTTTATTAAGTCGCTGCCTTGAAAACTGGAGCATTGCGTGTTTTCTCGTTTCTCTGGCAGTATCCTTCCGTTTCTCGACTCTCCTCGTCGGCTCCCATAAAGACTGAGTCTTTTTTTTTTGGCTTTGCAAGCAATCGACATCCTTTGAAAGTACATTTCCAAACTAGATACCGTCAACTCGACCTAAAAAGACACCTCGGGGGCCCCCGAAACCGGTCAAGGCTGACAAGCACACGTCCTGCGTGCCACTATTGCAGGATGCCTGAACTGTAATAGGAGGCTCTGCTGAGCCGACCCATGAGGCGTCTTCTGCCTCCTGAAGCCTGCCGATGCTCTGCTATTCCCGTCCAGCTGTACTGTATCCACTCCACCGCACATGCGTACCAATCCTAGACCCGTCTATGAGGGCTCCCCCGATACAAACACAGTCTGGTTCCCACCTCGGGAATTCGCAGAGTCCACAGAATCTACATTCAGCAATAGGCTCATCCGCTTTAGGTGACTCTTCGATGTCGCATTTGCTTCGCCTCCCCCGCTGGCTGTTGCTGCCTATTGCCCGTTTCCTCCCTGCACGCGATTTGTTGCAGCTGGAGGGCAGTTGCCGGTATCTGAAGGAAATCAGCAGCACTTGGGATGGTCTCTGGCGTCACAAAGTCATTACGGACTTTGTGCGGCGCTATGAGAGCCTCCAGGGAGCCCTCGACCTCATGGGCTCCTCTTGCTCTTGTCACATCACGGGAGGCGGATGCTCTCTAATTCCACCAAAGCCCACTGTTGAAAAATTTTGCAGCTCTGAAGACCGTTCCATCTCTCCGACTCCTTCCTTGAACGTTTTTGACTCGGGAAAGGGGCTTGTTTCATGGACAAGAGAGGGCCCTCAGTGGCCACAAGAGGGTGGCGACGCCTCGGTGCGTCGAAGCACAGCATACACTCTTACCGTCCACCCGTTTACTTGGCGTGTTCTCTATTTTAGAGTGTGCATGCTCTTAAAAAACTTGCGCGGGGGGCTTGCGCACCGGCGGATCCTGAAGGAGGCCCTCAAGCCACCGATTCACGTGGCTGTGGAAGGGGGCATGTGCATAACCCTGGACTGTCGCCGGCTGCTCTGGTGCAATGGAGAAGCATTGCAATGCTTTGACTTAGACAGGGGTCGCTTGCTTTGGTCTTCCTGGGTAGCGGAGGAACCGTTCGAGCCGACTAGCACTGCAGCATTCACTGCAGGTGCAGCTGAAGCAGCAGCGGGGGCACAATTAACGCCACGTAGACTACTAAATAGTATCCAGCAGGAGGAAATCCCTGCGACTGGAGTCAATGGATCCCAAATGCGTTTTCGTGGGGGACCTCCCAAAGTGGCCCCCTTCAACCCTTTGCTAACTGGGCCTGTGGGGGCCTCTCAAGGGTGGCGTTCACGGTGCCACGTGGTGGCTAGTGCTAGCCACGCTTTTACATTCGTACGAGGGTGGTTGCAGGTATTTTGTCTGCAAACAGGACTGTACGTGAGGGACCTCTGTGTGGGCCTTTCCCCCATTCAGACGGCAGCCGCTGCCAGCTGCATGCCCATCGATGTATGCCATCGCAGTAATCAGTTCGCCTTCATTTCGAAAATAGGCGCCATCATCTATGACAGTGAAACTCTAGCCCCTCTCTTTGCGCTGCAGCATGTGGGCACACTCGAGCTGCGGCAGCTGCAACAGCAACAACAACAGCAAAGGAGGGCCTACTTAGGGGGCGAATGGGTTGGCGGACCACCTCCCCACGCAGAAGGCGGATTTGACTTCTGCTGGGCAGGGGCTGCATGCAGAGGGCGTCCTCTACACAGACGCACAGAATGTAGCCTCGAGCAGCAGCAGTTGCAGCATCAGCAAGGAGACGCGACGAGACAGAGTGGCGCTACTAGCAACAGCGACCTCTGCAGCTGTTTCTGCCACTTAAACGGTGCAGAAAGAAATGCTTCCGCATGCAACGCGAGGGGCTGTTGGGCGAGCTGGAATACAAATAGAGGGAGCTGCGGCAGTAGCGGTGGGCTGTTTGCCTCCAGACGGTGCAGAGATACCGAACTGCAGTGCAGTCTCAAATGCTGCAGGTTGGGGTGTCGGCATATTGTGACTTGGCATGCGGGAGTCAGCCGGCGCCTTCTCGTCTGGTCCGCCTCTCCTGTGTGCACCGCTGATGCTTCGCAAGGCCCCCCGAGTTCAGTTGCTCAGTCTCCTCCCTACCTTGCAACGCCTTCTGCGTCTTTTAGTGCTCGCTCTGGTGTCATAGAAGCACCAGCAATAGTTTCTACGGCTACCGCCTCCTGCGCACGGCTGGTATATACACTGAGGGGCCACACGCGGCCGCTGCTTCGCGTAAGGCAGCAGACTGACTGGAGAGACATGCATGAATACTTCCTTGCATCCCTGGATGTCGGGGGGACTGTGCGGGTGTGGCACTCGGCGGCATTTCCTCAAAAGGAGGCCACAGCAGCAGCAGCAGCGGCGGCGATGACTCGTGCATGCGAGCGAGACACCGAAATCGCTGCGGCACCGCTGCTGCCGGATCCTCTGCAGCAGCAAGGGGGGCAAATGAATGCGGCTGGGATGCGTCCAATACACCCTGAGAGCGCAGGCATCAGTAGCAGAAGGAGGTTTCTCTGTGCGCGACAAGCGGAAGATGACAGCAAAGAGGCCGCCATTGGATGTATCGCGGTAATCCCTCCTATGGACAGTTACTGGGTGCACCGCATCTCCCTCTCCTGCCATGGCCTGCTGACGCTGTGCCGTAGAAAGCAGGTGCTGCAGCACTCGCAGCAGCATCAGCAACCCCTGCTGTTGCTGTGGATGTTGAATGCTCCTTCGCTGTCTTCTCTGCGAGCGAGGCGGGGCACCAAGCAAAAGCTGCGACTGGACTGGTCTTCCACGAACCCTGACGCAGTTTGGCAGCATATGCTTTCCCGCTGGAAGCAACTCGCTAAAGGCACGACAAAAGACGACTTTGGATGCAAAGTTGTTGGCGTGTTAGAGGACAGAAGGCGCAATTTTTCTGGGGCTGACACTGCGATACGCATCTCAGTCAAGGCGGCAGCAGAATCGCATGCCGTTCCTGATTCTGCAGCCGTTTTTTTCGCATCAGCCTCAGAAGCTGCACGTTCTGCAGACACAGCAGCAGCAGCAGCATCACGACGACCACCACCATCATCAGGAGCACCGACTCCTGAGGCTCCATGTGTTGTTACTGCTGGAAGAACTGCTGGCTTCGCAATACGTGGGCTCAGTTTGCGTCCGCTGAGCAATCGCGGCACTGGCAGCAGTAGACGCAGCAGCTCGGATGGCCCTCGCAGCTTAGGGTCGCAAACAACTGGAATTTGCTCCCGTAGCAGCAGCGTCCAGGAGCCAGAGGAAAGCAGCCACAGGAGCTTGGCAAGCAAAGGTGGCAACGGCAGCACAGACAAGGGCAGCAAGCGCACCATTAGAATCCCGCAAAGCTGCGCAGAGGGCTTTGCAGGAAGCATGCCCTTGCCTCGTCGCGCAATAGGCGGCAGCGGCAGGAACAGCGGGCCGGAGAGCACCAGCTCCCAAGTGCATACACTTGAAATTTGCGGTGCGTATTTGTTGCCCAGTAATGCCTTCTTTGCGGAGTTCAGCGGCGAAGGTCTCATCTCTGTTTTATGTGGAGAAGATGAAGTAAATTCTACGGAGAGCGTCTCAGGCTTCGCGCCTCGAGTACCCCGGTACAACCCTTTCAAGCGGTCCCTCTCGGATTGGCTGGTCTTTGATGTGGAGCGACTGCAGCGGGAGCACAATAGCCGGGCAGCCTCTTCATCTGCACGAGCTGCAGCAGCTGCGGACTCAGTTGCTGAGGTGGCAGATGAAGGGGCAACAGCAGATGCTGCGGCTGCGCTGTGTGACGATGCAGCTTTCGCACTAAGGCAGGCAAAGAGGTGCTGCTGGAGGGGAGATCCCGGTGTTCGCCCCCAAGAGTCCTCCCCGGACAGGCCGCTGCAGGCCTTTTACGAGCCAGCAGCAACACAGTGGCGCCTGCAACAGCAGCAGAGAGCCGCGGAAGAAGCGAAACGGAGGGAATCTATCAAGTCGCATCGGCGACTGGTTCTGCAGTGGATTGAAAGGCAGCGACGGCGCAGGCACAGATCTGCAGTTTTAGCAGCGTCTGCTGCTGCACATGCAGCTAGCCATGCCGAAGCTGCTGTATTCGCTACCAACTTGACGGGAGAAGGACACGGGCATGCAGAAAATCAAAGAACAGCAGCAGCAAGCGCCCCACTGAGGCCCCTAGCGATTTCTCCCGGTCCTCAAGGCGCCTCCTCCACCCCCTCAGTCTCCAACAGCCGCACCGCTGCCGCCACAAACGAGAACAGAGCAGAAGTCTCAGCGGTGCCTACTTCACAGAGGAGTCTGCGCTCTCCCTGGCCTGCTTCCGTCGAACCGCAAGCCTTGGATCCTCTCTCCAGCGTCGCATGGCTTCGCGAGAAAGGAAATGCATGGGCACTTGTGGACTGGAAGGCAGTTCAAGTAGATGCCAATGGATCCTTGGTTATCTTGGACTTCGCACATCCGGATGCTTCTCCTCTCTGTCCGGCTATATTCCTCTAACACTGCGATTTCACGCTTTGCCAGTTACGCGTAAAGGGGTCCAGCCCAGCCCCCTACGGGCCATGCTGCACACACGAGTCTCCCAAAGAGGCCCCCTTATGGCTCCTACTAGGGGCCTCGGCCTGCCCCCCTGTCACCGTCCCACAGTAATACCACATGTCTCTCCACGCTGCCACGCCTTTCCGAGGAAGGGGGAGGGAAGCGCGTTGCTTTTGGGAGGATCCTTTTTTTCTCGGCGCTCGCATCTCAAAGTCGCCGTGGAAGCCAGAAGCTCGAACTCCCAACTAGAGGCGCCGGGAGGCGCCCCCTTCGATGTTAGGTTCTGGTTCTAGCACCGATGGGGGGCTAGTTGTGTGAAGCGAGAACGTATTGCATGTTCAGCTCTAATTTCAAGCACACGTGCTTGCGCTCCCTTGCATGCTTGTCTGTGTTCTTGTTATGCATTCTACTGCTTTTATAGAGACCTTTCCCCTAAGTATATGCATACGTCGCACACATGCGCACAGGCATTCATGGGCCTGCCAGTCTAGCCGTTCGTGCACCGTGCCGAGGTGAGTGTGCGCTGCATTGCCTTCTGTCTCTGTGCATTGAGTGTTGGCCTTGTGAAGCCCCGATTATCCCTTCTCAGACTTACGCACGAACATATGGCAACCGCACTGTCCACGTGCTCTCCCCTTCTGTGGCGTATGGTAAACCCTGTAGCTGCCATACCGAGCCACGTAGCACCAGACGCCACTGTAGGACCACAGCACGCTGAAATAGTAAACCATTGCAAGACTATCTCTGTGACGTCCTGACATAAGTGGAAGAGTGTTCCTCAGGGATTCCGGCCTTCGTGATCTTGGGTCTAAGGGCTTGTACAAATGCACATAAATACTGAGTGCAGACGATAAACTATGCAGCTATGTACAAGGGAGTGTATGCGTACAGGAAAGTGGTTGATGTACCAGGTTTGGTAGGAGTTTATATGTCGAGGACAATAATGCCTAGATGGAGTAGGAGCGCAACTTTAAAGCCTCGGTGCATATACAGCACTAATACACCAAGAATGGAGTACTAAGGGTTCTCTCATCACATCCCGTTGCCACATGGCTCATCAGTCGGCCCCCAGTCATAGCCACATGCAAAAACTATGGGGCTTCGGATGGGTTACGCGTTCCCAGCCTCCCTCTTATCTTCATCGTCTGTAGGGTAATGAAGGAACTCCTGCCCTCCCATATACGGGACAAGAGCCCTAGGAACCTTCACCCCAGTTGGTGTTTGGTAGTTTTCAAGGATACAGCACATGCATCGCTGAGTGGCCACAAGCGTTGCATTGAGGAGGTGAACGAAGGGTTTTGAATCTGCCGCTGTAGCCGTCTCCTTTTTGTGGCCAAGGCGAATATCAAGGTCTCTCGCCTGGAAGTCGGTGCAGTTGCTGCAGGAAACCAGCTCCCTGTAGTCCTCATACCCGGGGAACCAGGCTTCAAGGTCGTACTTCTTCGCGGCTGCGTCGTTAAGGGCGCCAGTTACAATCGACACGACTCTGTATGGCAGTTCGAGGGACTGGTAAAATTCCTCAGCTGTAGAAATCATTTCTTCATGCATATCCCACGACTTTTCCGGTGCCGTAATGCAGAACTGCTCGATCTTCTCGAATTGATGGATGCGGAAAATTCCCCAACAGTCCTTTCCGTGCGCCCCAGCCTCCTTCCTAAAGCAGGTGCTGGTGCCAGTATACCGAATCGGCAGCTGCTTCTCTTCTACTCTCTCATGCATATGCAAGGCACACAGTGGCTGCTCGCTAGTGGCTATAAGGAACATGTCATCCCTCTCTGCATCCTGCTGCTGCTGCTTCGTCTTCTGCTGCTGCTGGTGTCCTGCTTCGTGCGGGATCTTGTACAGCGTTTCTTCAAAGTCCCGAAGCTCCGCTGCAGCCCCCATGACACTTTTTCTCATGAAAAAAGGCGGCTGAACCGGCTGGTATCCCTTCTTCATCAGGAAGTTCAGGCCGTATTGAATCAAAGCGTAGTTGAGCATGACACCAGGGCCCTTCAGGTAGTAGCCCCTGTGCCCTGCAACCTCCACTCCTTTTTTGAAGTCCACCCCATGCAACCGCTGCAAAACCTCGTGATGATGCATTTTCCCAGGAGTGCCATCAATCTTCACCTTGTTGGGGGTCCCCCAAGTCCGTACAACTTTGTTGTTCGTTTCATCGTTGCTTACAGGGACGGAGCCATGCACGATATTGCCAATGGATTTGAGGAGCGTGTCTCTGGTGGTTGCTGCTTCTGCAGCCTCAGCTTCCAAAGTTTGTAGCCTTGCCTTGATGCCCGTAGTTTTGGACACTAGGTCCTCGCATGAGGCCTTCGGATCACTCTTCTTTCGCTGTCCGATCTCTTTGTTTACGGCATTCAAGTCCTTCCTCCCCTGCTCTAATGAGAATGTTGCCTCCCTCCATTTCTTATCTGCCGCAATCAGACGTTCTACTCTGGCTGGATCCCGCCCTCGTCTCCTCTCGCTCTCCGCCACATGGGCGGGACAGCCGCCCTTCTCCTCCCGCAACAAGTTTATATCGATCGTCATCTTTTCTGCGGGAAAAGCAAAAAGATCAAGCACGGGTGGACAGCATGCGACAGAGCGGAAGGGAGAAGACACCCAGAGCAGAAGCTGTACAGCTATAAGCCTAGCCGGCCACACGGGGGGCATCAGGGAGAAAGGAACAGGGAGAGCGCATCAGGGTGGCCAGCAAAGTGGGTATGCGCCTTGAGCGGGATACACTTGGAAGCAGGAGCGTGGAGAGGAGGCAACACAAGCAGGCACATAGGGGGAGGATGCTGCGGCAGCAAACTAGAGTAAGTGAGCTGGGGTTGTAGAGGGTGCGTGAAGCACGCAGCGGTCTAGTTCGAGCGCATTCAGAGTATGCATAGTACGCGTCATGCACGACATAGGAAAAGGCAGCAGACGACAAAGCATTATTTGCATTAACCCCGTGTTGCGGAAGTAGGCAGGTACAAGCCGGCGACACGAAGGGAGGGCTGGTACTGTTGCCGCACATGCTACTGCTGCATGTCTTGTTACTGGGCCCAAAGCATACGCAAAGAGCGAAGTGATATTCAAAGAGGGGATAAAGGGCGATGGGAGCGTAGTTTGAGTCTCCCATAGCTTACGCTTACTGAATGCTGCCGGCCTACCGGTTCTAGGATTGGCGTGCTGCGTAAGCTGCCCCACAAGCGCTACCCTGGATGTGAGGAGTAGATCAACTAGCAATCAGCAACATAGCAAATTACAGGAGCATCTAATAAGCCAGTATTCCAGCGGAGTAGTTGAAAATTGGCGCAGGTGTCAAAATTTTAGAGGGTCCCAGATGGCATGAGAATGGAAGGGAGTGCTGGGCCCCCCTGCCTGTGCTGTGCCTGTTGCGGATCTCATGTCTGATGGCGGCCGCGGTTGGCTTCAAGGGGAATCAATATGAAGACAGAATTGCAATAAACAGCTTCATAACAGGTACATTCATAAAGAAAAAAAGCGCCTACCCACGTAACGTATGATTATCTTTTCCTCTTTGGATGCAAAAGCAGCCTGCATAAGGACGCATCGTATGGCATAGACTTGGGGCTTTGGTCGCGTACTACTCGCAGCAGCAGCAGCAGCGCTGCGCTCCCCCACAACCCCTATTCGCTCATATTTCCCGTTTGTCTGATTTTTAGGCATTTTTTTTGCATTCGCTGGTTCCTTCTTGCTGATCTGAGGAAATGAAGGTCTACAAATGCATCTTCTCTGACGACGAGCTCTGCTCGGACTCCTACCAGCATCTTGCTCCTTTTGGGGACGAATCCTTAAAGAATGGTGCGTCCGGCGGCAGCCAAATTTCGTTCGTCATTTTGGAGAAAGTTTAGCACAAGGATGGTGCAAGCAGGTTGCTTAGTAGTGTAATTAGCAGAGTATGGTGGTATCGGATGTTTCCTGGTTGGGGGTCCGCGAGTTGGGAAAACAGCGTGGTATCGCGACATGGGATCCACCTGAACCAGCCAAGGCGTGACATGAGTATGGGGAAAAATTTGGGCTGTAGTTTCGCGTGACTGCGAGGGCTCCTCTGGAGTGTCGCTCTGGTATAGTCTTCGCCGTCTCGCCGGGTCCGGTGCCCAGAGGCCTAGCTGCTGAGCACTTTTGTTGTGGCTTGATGTTAGCAAAGGCATGCTGCTGTAACTTCTCTCTTGCATTTTCGCGTGTTCCATGCGCTTTAGTTGCCTTTGAAGTCAAGGGGACTCGAGTCACGACGGGCATTGGAGACATAGGTGTCGCGGACAACAGGTGGGCGGGATATTGGGAGGCGGTTCTTTCGACCCCTAATAAAGTGGAACAGATGGGACTTATTTTAGGATTTTGCTTGATCGTTCGATAGGCTTGTGGCATCAGTGAAGTTTGTTCCCGTGGTGCCCTTTCTTTTATGTCGTGAATCCTTCTCACTTAAACCTGGTTGCATCGTGTCTGTGTTCATCTGGGATTTGTAATTTGTTCGAGTTTTTGCTGAAACTTCTGTCTTGCGCAGCGCGGAAGGCGAGGATGGCGTGGACGATCAGCCTGAGACGGTGATTGACATTGTCGATTCATTCCACCTGTCTGAGACTTCTTTGTCAAAGAAGGACTTCACTGCATACATCAAGGCCTATATAAAGAGAGTGATGCAGCATCTGGAGGAGAATAATCCGACAAGAGTTGAGGATTTCAAGAAAGGAACCGAAGCTCTTGTGAAAAAGATCCTCGGCTCGTTCGACGACTTCTTGTTTTACATGTCGCAAAGCAATGATTTCGAGGCATCTTTGGTTTATGCATACTACAAGGACGAGGAAACTGCACCAAGGTTTATTTATCTGAGGGACGGCCTTAAGGAGGAGAAGTACTAAATATATAGGTATCGTATTTCACTTCGCAGTAGCTCGATTACAAGTGACTTAAGTTTGGTCTGGTTGCGGGGTGGCACATCGGGCTGGACTGATGAACGACATCTACCTATGAAGGTGAATGCATGCGCATGCTCAAGCTCCCAAAGGAACTTATAATTTGCGGGACTTGGCTGCGGGTACCAAGCCAAGTAATGGCTGCTGTTGCCTCATCCTTTTGCACGGAACCAGGGGGCGAAAATCTGTGCCGCCAGAGTGTGCATGTTTCTACACATGTAGAAGCATTCTGGGTCGCCCCCTATGGGAGGAGAGTCCTATCCACGATCCCCTTGGAGGCATGCGGGGGCCTTGTGCTGTCCTGGTCCAAACAAATCTACGCTTTATGCTGCCCCGAGGCGCTGCTACATATGCAGCTGCTCTCTTTAGGAGGAAAGGGCATCCTGGCAGGTGGTCCCGTTTCCGCTTTCGAACTTTGTTTACAGACAAAACTTTAAGTGTACTAGTCCGGGATTGATGCATCACCTATGTTAGTACTGCTGTCGCTACTTTTGAAAACATGGACTACTGCCGTATTCCCTGCGTGTTTTTCTTTGCGAACTGTAATGAGGGTGTGTATGTACTTAAATTTGTACGAATTGGCTATGCACTAGTGTGGGGCATTTAGTTGTCGCATTCTGCAGGACGCGTGAATGGCCTGCGTAGTGTGCCCTTCTCTGCGTTGCACTCATGGTCGGCCGGTGACGGGCGATTTGCAGTCTGTACTGTTCGTTACGGAATAGAGGTATCCGCGTGTCTTGCTGCCAGCGACCTCGGATACTTCTGGGAATGAGGGAGGTCTCACTGTTAATACATGGGCACCCTGTAACACCCCAGGGTGTACAGTGTCAGTTTTGAGAGCGTCTTTCTGTCCTTTTGGGGTTTAATCTATTCCATGGAGACGCGAGTGCTGCTCTTCGTGTCGGTGTAGTAGCTTGATGACGAGGCTCTGTCTCGACGGTTGTAGTCAGATAAGCCGGCAGTGGAGAGATCGCCTAGGTGTTCTGCTGGCAGCGGCTTCTGCTTGCTACTTTTCTTACTCGAGTCGGATGTACGGCGGGCCCTTTCCCACCCGAAGCTATCTTTACTATGCAGACGTCTGGGAAACCCCGATGGCCTCTCTGGCTCTGTTGTTTCTTCTAATGACGGCTTGCGACGGGGACGGCTTCCTGTAGCTGTACATCCTGAAGCCTGGGGTCTAGGCGGCAATCCCTGAGACTTGGTTGCGCGAAGAGGGCCCTTTATCGTTGAATTGCCATTCGAAGCTGAAGTTCCAATGGTGGATGCTGCTTTGCAGAGCGCGGCGGGGCGCGCCATTTCTACGGCGGTGTTCTTGCTGCTCGGACGACGCTGTTCTAGCGTGTCTCCCCGCGACAGTGTTGCATTGAAGCTGTCTTCGATCCGAATGGAGCTCCAATCTTTGCTGCTGCACAACTGAGAAGGAGACAATTTGACTCCTCTATCAGGACTAGAATGAGTCACAACGCCAGAATCGGGGTCTCGAGTGGCCGCGGACATAACGTTAGATGTACTTGAATTTCTTGTAGCTCCAGCACCGCAACGCGTAGATACCTCAGCTAGTAGGACTTCCACCGTGCCGAGGGAAGGAGAGCCACGAAGGGAAGCCTCATGTGATGTGCTGCCGCTACTACGAAAACCGGCGGGCGGCTGATGCTGACACGAATGTAGGCCGTGAGGCTTAGTGTTGCAGAGGCTGTCCTGAATACTTGTGCACATCGTAGAAGCAGGATCATCCCTTGTATTGACGCTGCTGCTAATGCGCCTGTTGCTGCTTATAGAAGCAGGTAAAGGTGTGTTGGTAGCGCCGAAGGAGCAAGCAGATGTGGCCAGCGTGGTGCTGGCTCTGTCACCACGGGGTGCAAGAAGTCCCGGGTTGGGGGACTCTTTGGGGCCAAACACCATCAGCACTGACCGGAAGGCCGGGTCAGGGGGATTCCAGACGCTATTGGTGAAAATAAAACATCGGTGGCCCTCTACCGAACGGCGGGGAACACAAAGAGCATTGCACGTGCTCACTATACTAGATTCCGTGTATCTGCGGCTCTAACAGAATAAGAAGCTGTGAGTATTGCGAGGAAGATTGTGTAGCGTTTCTGTTGCTATGAAGACGATACACAGCTCTGAGGGAGATGAAGGGGCCGTCAGCGTAAAGACATTACAGGAGTGGGCCCTGCTCGCTCAAAAGAGGTGCATTAATTAACCAAATCAAGGAACCCCATAGGTAACTTTATTTGGGACTTCAGGTTTGCACATAGTAGGAGGGCGCGTGTAATAGACTGCTGCAGTTTTTGATGGCCCTCGGGTCAGGTGACCTCGGCCCCCCTTCTGCTTTGGACTTCTCTATGCTTTGTTGCTGAAGCTACAAACATGCAGAGCCACAATAAGCGGCTTTATAGTCTCTGCTTGGAGCAAAACAACGATATGTAACAAGAGTACGCACAATCTTCTGACTCTGCGGGTTCCTGGAAAGAGCACTGCTGACGGTTCTATGGTGTAGTGGTTAGCACTGCGGACTCTGAATCCGCCGACCTGGGTTCAAATCCCAGTAGGACCTTTATATATCTTGGTTTATCTTCGGTTGCCCGGGTCATTTAATGTGCAAAGCGTGTACTTAGGCTTTGTGCGTGTTATCAAGAAAAGGTATTACTGGGATCTTCAGCCATGTCGGGAGGTTACCACTTGGCTGTGCCAACCCATGCATCCTAAAACTGTCGGGCTTGAGCCTTTTTACCTACCAGAATGAATACATTTCCTTCATTTTCATTGCGCCTAGCTTGAAGAACAAGTGGCAGAACCGCTCTCCCTATCCTGCTCTATAGCGCCCCTCGGGCAGCCGCCCTCCATCTTTAAGGACCGCTTGTTCCTCCCACTTCCTGAGAAACCTTTTATGCCAACTCGGGTAGCATTCTTTCTCGTAGCATACCATGAAAACACTTCCGAGAGAATTAGCCACAGAGTCCTTTGTAAGTACAAGGCCCTTTGCGCTGAAAAAAGTATAGTTTGCAACGGCTTCATCTCTAAAGTGTCCGACATATTTAGAGTAAGTCAACTGCTAGATAGGTTTTGTAGCAGCTAGAGTTGCATGGTGATGGCTACCACTTCAGCCCCCTGAGTTGAACCAGCAAAGGCCTCCGCCAATGTCTGCGATGAGGGGGACACAACAGCGCAAGCAGGAGCCTGATGTCTTAGAATTTCCGGAGTCAACTTCTACAGGATTAAATAGCACAGTAACCAAGAGAGGGAGCACCAGATAGCCTAATCGTCAACGTACAGAAAGCACTTCGACGGAATCCGCAACTCTTCATAAAAGGATAAACGGACCTGTATCTGGTTGCTGCCGTCCCCGGAGGGGATCCTTGCTTTTGCCTCTTCCCCCTGCGCTGTCCAAAAAGCACCAGATCCTACACGAAGACTTGCAGGGGTCCCGGCCTCTATCTCCATGAACTCCACGTCGTCCAGAATATCTGTGCCTTCACAAAACCGAGGATCACCAAGAAATTTCTCCCCCGTAGCCAAAATGTAACTTATACAAATAGGCACCCTCAGAAATTTTAGGTGCTAGTTTGTGAGAAGCTGTGTTGGTGTGTGCATGAGATATCGAATCGGTGCGGAACAGATCAGGGGTGGTACTCACCGTCGATGCATTCGTCAGTAACAAAGAAGGTACGGCCCGCTTGCCCCTGAAGCGCACGTTTGACATCCCTACTTTTTGAGGGAGATTCAGCGGGGAGCACTTCATGTCGTCCTCCCTCGGCAGTAGCTCACAATCGTTGGCGCACGGGGAGTTCTGAAGGGCCTCAACGGGCGCATGTGGAATTTCACTCACTCTGGAAGACAGAAGCACCCTGGCAGTTCCTTTTGCCTTTAAGAAAACCTTATATGGCCCCCTCAGGGGGCGTGAGGCAGACAGCGTGGAATCCTGCTGAAGGGGATACTCTGCGTTGGTCTCGTCCCCGAGCACCAAGGCCAAACCAACCGACACGCCCCTCCTGTCAGAGGCCGAGAAAGTCTTGAGGACCTAGGAGGACCACGGAAAGACACACCAAAGCCACAACACTAACTGCCATCTAGTGCCCTACCTTGCACAGCCCTGAGGACTCCTAATGAACAATGCTCCCCTAAAACACTTCGACCAAAATAAGAAGGTTGATTAGCAGGACGCGACAATATGACGAAGGAATGTCGCAACAGATTCAGGCTTCAGTGATAAATAGGTGTTTACCCGTTCTAGTGCAGCCTTGATTGCTCTCTGAGGGCTTTGTTGTGCACGCAGCTCAGAGAGAAGCCAAACTAGGGGCACACATCATACACAGCAGCATGAGAGATAGGGTGAAGCCCAGCTACAGGCTGAGGCTTGAGTTAGGACCAATAGGATTCGTTTGTACAGTTGTTAGGGTTCTCCGCTGTAGAGCTGTAAAATTAATGAGATTTCTTTTTGTCTTATGTCTTTCACAATAGTGCCAAGGGGCCTCTAGCAGCAGCTGCAGCACTGAGCGTACCTGCCATCTCGGTATGGGGGGCTGCGGCTCTGTGGGTGACATTGGGTCCCTCCCACAGTAGTAGCAAACAAAGGCCCGGAGCGCTGCAACCCGTAGAGATTCAGAATACGCAAGGAAGGATCGGTGTTTAGCAAGTACGTTGTTGCCGGGTCATTCAGGGTTTAGGGCTTCAGGGTTCATCAGCACTTACCAGAACACACCGACACCCTTGTGGCGTTTTGGGTGGTTCTCTTGCACCTGGTAGGAGGGGAGGAGGATCTCTATATGGCACCGCTTGCACCCTTCCCAGGCTACGTCTTCAGTCGGAAAAGTAAAGGCTCGATTTGCAATGGTTTCCAGGGGGACTACAAAGGACACTTTCTCTGTGGGTGCTCCTTGGGGCAATGAGGCTGCTCTGGTGCTCATTGTAGGGCTACATGAGGTCTCGTCTTCGTTTGTAAAAATACT